ATTCGACGACGGGCGAGACCCCCTTTCGACTAACATAGGGCACCGAGGCCGTCATCCTAGTAGAAATCCGGGAACCCTCCAGGCGGACAGAAAATCCCCTCGAGGAAGAAATGAACGACGAGGCCCTCAGGGACGAACTCGACTTAGTCGAGGAAATCCGATCGGGGGCGGCCCTACGCGAGGCACCCTAAAACAACGAGTGGCCCTGCGTCACAACGACAAGGTCATTAAACGCGAGTTCGAAATCGGAAGCCTGGTGTTACGAAGAAACCAGAAAGACTCCCGCAAAGGGAAATTGGCCGCAAACTGGGAAGGGCCTTATCGCGTCCACGACACCACAGGTACCGGGGCATATTACCTCGAGCAACTAGATGGAGAACCACTACCACGACCCTGGAACGCTGCTAAACTAAAGCAGTACTATAGTTAAAAACCCTTAACACCAAGGACTCTCGCCGTCAGACATCCACGGGGAGAAACGTCTCGACCACGTAGAAAGGCCAAGGTACGGGCCCAATCTACGCCCAAACGACATAACGTCGCTCAGCCAAACGAGCATGAACGACAGTGCCCGACATGGACACCTCAATCGAGCTCCACCGTCGAAGTACCCGTATGGCAGAACACCCAGCTCGCGATGGAAAGTTCATGCCACGGGCAAGCGACCCCAATCCGGGTCACACGCCCGAGTAAGCGGCTTTACTCTGCACGCCCAACGCATCTCGAAGTGCGTCGGACCATCCAAAGGGTCGAAAAGAATCTCTCCTCGAGGTTGTAACTTAGGCAAAATTCGCCACAAAATAGCAAGCCGAGCACAAACATGTCCCGAGGAAAAAACTTAGGCAAATTTGCCACAAAGTGATAGCCGAGCACAGACGAGACTCGGGGACATAACTTAGGCAAATTTCATCACAATATATGAAAACATAGACAACGGGCAAATAATCAAGGTCGAAGCAAACATTCATTCAAAAGCTCATGAGCAAAAAACAAATAGAAATAAACCGACCAAGAAGGCCGGCGATGTTCATAAATTACAAGAGCGGGCACGCAGGCCCAAAAAATATACACTGGCACGCAGGCCCCAAAAACAACTATCAGTAAACAGGCGCGCAGGCCCGACCAGAATTTTACGGCTAGACTTCCCTGGGGCTACCAGCGTCGAAGACAGGAGACTCGGGCGGAGGCACGACCTGGCCGTCGATGATCTGGGACATGAAGCCCGCCCCTTCGATATTCAGACCAGGATTCAATAGAGTGAGCTGGCTAATCGCGGCCTCAAAGCCATCCGCCAAGGCGCCAACACAGTCTGTCTCGAGGAGTTGAATCCGAGCGACCAATTCTGAGCGACTCCGCAAGGGGGCTGTCTCCTCCGACTCATCTTCGGCGAGAAGCATGGCAGCCTTTAGATCCTCGACCTTTTTGGCGAGACGCCCGTTGTTGGCTTCCAAGCGCTCCCGGTCCAGTCGAAAGTAGTCCCTCTCCTCGGCAACCTTCCCCGAGCTCTCCTTCTCCGCAGCCAGAAACTCGGCTTGCTCGCGGAACATCTCCTCAGAGCGCTCCAGAGCAGCCTTCAACTTTCAAGAGCTCACAGCAAGGGCAGCTTTCTCCTGCTCCAGCTCTTTGACGCGGTCAGAGTCTTCCCCCTCCTCAGCCAGGACAACGGCCATCTCGGCCATCTTGACCATCCTGACCATGTTGGCAGCCAGATGCTTTCTCCGGCTTTCTTTACTTAGTTGCCTAATGGTATCAGCTTCATCGGCGCTTACAGTCAAGGGAAACCCCTCGAAGAAGCCCTCCTCTTTAAAATAGGGAGGAAACCCAAAGGACCTCACCGCGCCAGACTCCTCGCCGACTTCTGACTGGCTCTCTACCCGGTTCCTCTTCCTCGATATCAGATCAACATGCGGCTCGACATCTTGGGAGTCCGGGGACCCGCCAGAAGCATCACCCGAACTAGTTGGCGGGCCCATCCTCGTCGCCTTAGGAGTCTGCACCACTCTTTTGTTGACTTTCTTATCCTGTGTAAACTTTAGAAGCCTCTCCTTTCACCCAGCCATATGACCTGCAAAAAAGAAAACTCGGGTTAGTTACGAGCAAGTAACAAACGAAGAAATTAGAACAAGACTATAAGACAAAAAGTAACCTAGCAAGTTCGCGGCCTGCCCGTAGGACTGACACTCCACAAGCGCCTTTGTATCTATAGGTCGGGCCTCAAAGGTCGGGTAATCATCTTCACCGAGAATGTCCTTTCCCTCCCTCGTGGCCCACCGGGCAGGGAAGAAACTGTCGACATATCTGCAGAGGGTACCGTAGGCCTCCTCATCTTCGGTGCTCATCCCTTCCGCGGGCGTATGGTAATGCCCGGTGCCATGCTCGTAGTGGCACGAACTCCAATGCAAGGGAAACTTAGCCACGCGCCCCAACACCGGGCGACCCTCATCGTCCATAAGAGGCTCCCCGTGATCGTCGGCCACCACAGTTTCTTCCTCGTATACAGAATCTAGAGCAGTCTGGGTGACCGGCCGCACGATGTACCATTTGTCCTTGAACCCCCAGACAGAATCCATATACATCCTGAACAGCCTCTTCGACTGTTTCAGGGAAAACCAACTGTGCCTACCTCCCCGAGACTGGCGTTGTAAATGAAAGACTCTGAAGAAGAGAGGTATGGTTGCCCCAATCCTTAAAAAACGACACGTCAGCTCGAATGCCCGAAGAAAAGCAATCGAGTTGGGGTGAAGCTACGAGGGGGCCAACTCCAAATGACTGAAGACCCCGACCTGAAAATCACTAAAGGGGACCTTTAGGCCGAGGTCCTTAAACACGATCTCATACATGGGAAACCCGTACTCGGAGAACTCCGAACAGATCCGCGCGTTAAGAGACGGTCTGGTGACAACAAAATTTTTCTGGAAGCCCGGCTGACTACCGCCCTGCTCGACGATAGTGTACGCGCTCCGACTGCGCCGACTATAAGCAGAAGCAATCCCTCTGGGATCGGCGCACACCCACTCTAGCAAAGGATCATCAATGGTATCGATCAGAGTCACATTTTACTCGGCGCTTTGGTCTCCCACCTCGTTGCGCCCCGAGGAACACGGTTCATCATCCATTTTACCTGCAAAGCACAGAAAACTGGTCAATTTGGGAGCAAATCCATACGCTCGCCATAACTGACGGGAAGAAGGGCACGACAAGCCGAGTCATACTCCATACACAATTAAAATGTTGAGGATTCGAACAAGAGTCTGGTGTCACCTCCCCAACGCCAAGATGCCACGACGAGACATCCTACATACTGCCTAAATGGGCCAACATCCCGGCCAGTCACGAGTACGTCGACCTAAACTATAGATATGATGAGCAATATCATGAATCCTAAACCTAGAACTATGAGTTTACCGGGCAATATCATGAGTTGGGCGCCCAGAACCATGAAGATCCCGGGCAGCATTGTGAGTCACATGCCTAAACTACGCGTTTACCGGGCACAAACATGCATTCACCGGGCATAAACCTGAATATGCCGGGCAAGAATATGAATGTATCGGGGCTAATCCCAGATGCGGATTATCTAACATACAAATAACGGGAAAAACTACCTACAACGGAGAAAAATATGAGGGGTAGACGCTTACTTGGAAGGATGTACGATGGCAGGGAAGAAAATCGACGGCGGAAAGCACGGTGGTCCTATGAAATTCTGGAAAAACAGCGGCGGCAAAGGCAGAGGAAGGAGGAGAAGCGCGAAGAAGAAAAACGGATTATGGGACCCAATGATCCTATTTATAGGGATGACGTGGAATACGAAACGTCACCCCGGGGGAACCACGAGCTTCCCCTCCCCGACGTCTACTCCCCTAGGCAATAATGACTCTACTTTCACTAGGGTGGCGTCACGATTCCCAAGGGTTGTCTCGTATACTCAACGAGCACAGCCCGTAAAGAGTCCCCCGAGCACGCCTCGAGAGGGATTATCTCACGAACGCAACACAGGAGAAACTCCTCGAGCAACCACGGGGAAGCAAATATCCTGGCCGAGCGTAAGGCCCCGTGACGAATACGAACTGAGATCAAGTCATAACTCCTGCTCCAGGAGCCACGACTTGGGGGGCTCTTGTTCTGGACTGGGCCCGTCCTGGCCCAAAAGCAAGAACGAATGTCCAATCCAAGCAACTCTACAAGAGGCGCGCACCCGAAGATTTCCGCCAGCGCGTCGACCAGAAGCCACAGCCGTGCCCGCCGCTACCCGCGAACACGACATCGTCGTCCCCATGAAATCCAGCTCGAGTCCAACTCGAGCACCCTCCTCGTAGGGCAGACTACGACTGTTACTCCATCACCTGAATTCCGGAAAGACCGCGTCCTCGTCCCTCCGTACTTCTCGCAGAACATCACCAGGAAGGGGACCACGTGCGGGTCCCCACTACACACGTAGAACCTGGCAGTTCCTTTATTGGGCCAGTCCTGGTCGGTCCAATGGAGGGACCTTGGCCCCACGCTGGGGGCTATAAATACCCTCTATTCCTAGAGGGTCAGGTATTCATTCTCTTACTCATATACACACTTTCTGCCTGCTCGTACTACCACTCACTTTAGCATCAGAGTGCCTTGCAGGTACCCCCATCTCGTCCAACCTCAGCTCGGAGCCAATCGTGACGGTCAAAGTCTGATCTGGTAAGATCAATATCCAAAAATTCAAATTTTTCTCACAATCAACAATCACCTCAATTTCACACATCCATGGTTCTCACAATCCACGAATTTCGTACTCTTTGATTTTTACTAATTTTTTATTATTGCTGTTATTTCATTGTTTTGGCCGATGATTCAAATATAAGGCTCCTTGACATTTTCAACTCTCTTTTATTTTCAATTTGATTTTTCTTAATTTTAATTTATGTTTATTTATCAAATGATGATTGTCGATGGTTGTATTTTAAAATCACATTTACAAATTTTCTAAACTCCTCTTTACACTAACTACACAGTTTCCGATGAAAAGTCTTTTTTTATTAGTTAAACATGTTTGTATATCTTTAATCAAATCTTTTTCTTCCTATCATTTAGTCAAGTTTGGATGATAGTACACCTGACAAGATTTTTTTCCTCCTCTAAAGTTTCAGTGAAACTTACACGTATTAGCATACTAACGACAATTGTATTCCAGCATTAGATTTTATATTAAGTGAAACTTCTGTTTGTTTTACAGGAAATAGATAACAAGAAGAGGAAATCATTATCGAAAAAACTGCCGCGGACCTTCACTCAAACGCTCTGCGATCTCCACCGCACACCTTCATCCATGTCCAGATCGAACCACCGTGTAAGTCATCTCCCTATGCCCAGAACCATCGAGGTCGCGCTCACACATAAATCGACCACCTAACTTCGCTCCGACGATAACAACTGCATTGGATTCTTCGTCATGGGTGAATTCTCTTGTTTTTCGGATCTATGGTTCAATGAAGCTTTGATTTTTGTTTTATTGAAATTAAAAAGGAGAAGGGTGCACAGGTTTGTTTTAATAATGATAGATATTGAGAAATTTGGAGGAAAAATGAAAATAGGTCGTGAGAGAGAGAGGAAGATGAATTTGCAACGTGACTGTCTTTTCTTATTTACTGGTTTGTTTGATTTTAGTTTTCATTATTTTAAAACAAATCAAAGCCAAGTGTCTTCAAGTAAGTGGTTGTTCTTTTAAATTGAAAAGTCAATGAAATATTAATTTTTTTCCCTCATAACAATACAAATATCATTTAATTTATCAATGAGCGAGACGTGGGCGATATCTGACCACATGATGAGAAAGACTTTATCAGACTCTCTCCATATCGTTCATGACGAGCGACACGTGGTCAATATCTGGCCACATTATAATGGGAGACTTCATCAGACTCCCTCCGCTCTATGTCCTAACATACTCTTTAATTAAATCGAAATTCAAAACAACTAACCAACGATCAAACCATTTTTCTACTAGCATAATAAAATCCAAGATATTTTCGAAAAAGGATTAAATAGAATTACTTTCAAAATGAATTGTGAAAATCGTCTACGATCACTCAACTTCAAACCCAGACAAGGTTCAAGGATAACTCGAAGGAAATTCTATGCAATCCTATAAAAAACACCAACCAAATTACAAACTATGATTTGAGACTCTGATTTCTCATAAGAGGATACGTAGGCATACGACTTAAAATCGTGGCGAGTTCCCCTAATAAAAATTAAAACCCTATTTCCTAAGAAATTGCAGTTCTAAACCATAGTATCCTTATGAACAAGGTAGATGGGGGGTGCATAACACCTTCTTTTCGTCTAAAACGAGTCAAACAACTTAGAATCTCTGATCAAATTAGGGTTATCCTTTATATTCCCTTCCCTAGAGATAAAAATTAAGGGTGTCGACTCTCAATCTAAAACCTGTTATAACAGCTGGAGACTATGTTAGGGACTTAACCCTAGAGTTTAGAAGCCTTTCCTTTTGGTTTTAGGGTTTTTCTTATTTTTGGGTTATTATACTTGCTTATTTAATTATTTATTTATTTTTGCTTATTACATTATTTGTCATCTTTATTCATCTATTGGCGGGATTTTATTATTTTAAAAGAATATTTTCAAAAACCCTTAGAAAGAAGGTTCATCTATTGGCCAAGGGGATACATCATCCCTATGAGTTTTTGTGACGACTTCGCCTAGAGTCGGTGGAATTACAAAAAAGAAATACGTCTCAAGAGACATCTCTTGAGGATAGGACTTTCGAATAAAATCTATGACTCTTTGTATAACCCTTAAACCAAAATCTCACGGTGAGACCTTTCATGACTTAGAAACAAAAGTTTCGGTCTTCAAAGAGGCTCCACTCAAGAGAGGTCCTTGTGCCTTTCCCTATAATGTTATCCATGATGCCCTTAAGGAAACCACCTTATGGGGAGGGTAGAATATACATAGGCCAACACTAGGAACCTAACAACTAAGGATACCTTTCATAAAATCCCACTACAATCCCTAAACTCGCAAGGGTTATCTTTTCGTCCATTACTATCTTTAGCCTATAAGAGTTTCCCTTTCTATTTCATAACCCCTAGATTGTACAAATTCCTTTTTATGCGTCATGATCCCTAGTATGTAGGGATTCCCTTTTTTGTTCGTCATTATCTTTAGGACGTCTTCGTTGATGCACGCCATATGGCCTATATCATGCCATGGGATTTAGTACCTGTTGACCAGTCACCATGTTCTCTCTTCCATTCTATTCCCTCGAGTCAGGTCATCATCTCAACTGTCCATTGGCTTATCATAAACCCTAGCCTGTAGGAGTATCTTTTATAAGTCATAATCCCTATCTTGTAGAGGTTTCACATTGTATATATATCCCTAAAACCTGTGTAGGGTGTCCTTAGGTTTATCTTCGTTCTAACCTCACATTGCATTGCATGTCCATGAAATTTTTTAGCATACCCTAAAAATAAATAAAAAATTGCATACTTGTAACACGGTGGCAGAACCGACTATTATACGTTTTGCATTTTGTATTCATAAATGTTACAGTAAGCAAGAGTCGTCACCGACTTTTCTTTTATCCAACAAAGGAAAGGGTGAAAAGAACAGAAAAAGACCTTTGGAGAGTTTTCTGAGTAAAGGGGTAGATTATGGAAAAGGGAAGGTATTAACACCCTTTCCATCCGCAGTTATCTACGGGCTCTTAGATGCTTAGCTCATTTTGAAATACCTTGTGCTTTGTGTGTTTTGAAAAGTATTTTTGAAATGTCAATAGTAAGGCATCTTGCTTTATGATAACTTTTGCATCAGTCCTCAAGAGTGTTGATAAAGCATTTTGAAAATGTTTTTAAAAGTGGTTTTGTGTAAGTGTAAAAAATGGTTTAAGCAAGCATCTAATAGCTAACTACTTTACTCGAAAGTTTGTTCTTTTCCTCTTTTCCTTTAGACAGTGTTATCCTACTATTAGTGAGTAGGTAGCCCTAGTCGTCGGATGTTTGAGGGACATTCGAAGGGACGTTAACACGGTCATAAAGGCAACTGAGAAAGAAACCTTAGTAACTACCCTAGGGTTTTAAGATAATTTTTACCAAGGCAACGTCGAGTGGGTCATCGAGGGACTTATGATCTTTAAACCGGAGGGTAGCCACTAAAAGTGGGGTACCCTAGAGGTGTGCATGTGAAATTGTGTTATATTCAGTTATTTATCTTTGCATTAGGTTTGCTAGCGTTTGATTATTAAACTCTTACCATACAATCCAAATTAGCATACATCTAAACAATTAATAATTTGCAGTAATTAAAAGTGCGGAAATGTAAAATCCTAAATATTACATGGCTTCGGGGAGGGGGAACTTACAAGTCTAAGATTGGGGAAAAATAGTAAATATCCTAGTTATTATATTACAATCCATAAGCAGATACATTAATGATAAAAATAACAATGCTAAAATAATAAACGCGCGCAAATTAGAAAAAACGTCTAAAACCCTAAAATGTTTCTAAGTAAAAGAACATTATTTTTTGCCTATTTAGGAAAATATTAAATAAAAATAAACTAAATTTAATTAATAAAAAAAAGAAAATTATTAACCAAAATTAAATCTAAACAAAACCTAATATTTTTTGGCATTTTTTATTAAGAAAATAAATGAATTGAACGAACCTAGTTCTAATTATTTTTAAATTAATGAAATAAAACTAAAAAAAACTAAATTAATTTACAAAATTAAAACTAATTACAAAATCCTAAGTCTCATATTTTTTATGATTTTGTTGATTTTAATAAAATGATTTTTAAACATAAAACAATTAAATAAATAAAATAGTGAAGAAAAGAAAATAAATTGGGTCTGGTACTAAAGTGAAAAAGGGGTGCATTTTGAAATTTTTGTAAGGACCAAACCATGGAGCCCAATGTTCCGCCTGATCCTGTGAGGCCCGGCTCCTGGGGTTGCACCATGGGGGACACTCTTGGGAACGTTGGATCAGATCTGTACAAATCAGGTTCCTGAGAGTTGAAGGGGCATGGTAGGCACGCTGAAACATGCTACGCTGGATTTGAAAAAAGAATATGCAAAAACCTGGGGATCGAACCCAGGCTCTTCAAGCTTACACACGCATCCTTCACCATTGGGCCATCGGAGAAACGAGATCTGCTTGTTTTAGGATGCCTTAAGCGTCGAGGAGGGCTGGTATGTGCTCCTAGGATCCTCAGGATGATAATGGAACCTTTGGAATGGATCGAGGGAAGCTGAATCGTGTGATATGAGTTTCACTTCTTCTTTGATTTTTTTTGGAATTTTTGGGAGCTTTTTTCAGGCAATCTCTTGTGTAGGCAATGTGTGTCTGTTGATGGGCAATGTCCATCTTGTATTTATAGGGGTGTGGTGGTGAATGAAAATGGCATGAATCAGCCATTAACCATGTCTTTGAAAGCAAAATTGAAAGATTTAAAAAATTTCCATTTTGAGATATTTTCTACCATTTTGGACTTTGAGTGAACCTGGACAAGTTTTATCCCATTAGGTGTTCGTTTCAAATTTTCACATCTTGATTCTTTCGAATGCTCCCAAGATTTGTTCTTTTCGATGGCTCTGAGTTCCAATTCGAATTGCTCAAGGCTTTATCATCATGGATTTTTCAATTAAGTTATCGTCTGTATAGGTTTCCTGATCTGGAAACATCAGCCTAATCGAACAGTTATTGCTCCTTTCGATCTCCTTTCACTCAATTTAACCAATCGAAGTATCACCACTTCCTTTTGACTGGTCGAAGCTTCACTCTGCTCCTTTCAATTTCCTTCCACTCAATTCGACCAATCGAAGTATCACCTCTTCCTTTTGACTGGTCGAAGCTTCGTTTTATTCTTTCCTTCGAACACAGTTGTGACTGTGTCTTCGACTCTAATCTCACCCTTTGCTTTTGTCTACAAGAATATCTTTCTTGCTCACTAGTTCATCTTCGATTGGTGAATACAACTTCTATGCACCAATCGAATGGTAACCTATGATTACCAGGACTTCACTTCAACCATCCAACTTCTTCCTCGCCTGTCCAGGTACATGCATGTCCTTCAAACCATAAGATAAAAGCTTTCAAATTCAAACTCTTTTTTTTCTCGAAGCGCCAATTCAATCAACATGACAATCAAAGTGTCTTTCCCTGTAATGCTTCGAATGGCTTATATTTCAATGGTTCGAAAACGAACCCTTCGAAGCTCTTTACTAGCTCTTCTAATCGAAGACTTCCTAAAAGCCTCCTCATGCTTTCTTTCCAACTATACTTCATTCGATCCTAATGCTTCTTTAGGCATCATATTAGACTGCATATTGCTGTTGAAGCTTCTTCGACCCAAAAGCTCTTAGGCGTATTCTTAGCTTTCGA